GTTATCTGTTCTGTCAAGACACTCCCATCCAATCTTGTATATTTTCTATTTTAGGCTAATCAGAGACCTCTCCAAGGATCTACACTGTCTTAGTTACTCTTCTCTCACAGCTGGGACAAAATATCCAACACCAAAATTAAGAAAGGAAAGGTTTACTTAGCTCACAGTGGAGGTTTCAGTCCATACTCAGCTGGCCCCAAGGACGAGTGGCATATGGCAGAGGGCAGCCATTCATGGCAGTGGAAAACAGCAAAGAAGAGAAATGTACCTGAGAAATAATTTGGAACCAGAGAAGTGGGGTCATTGCTGTGACTATATACCTGACCATGTGGATTTTAAGCCTTTGGGAATGACTTATGGGAAGAGACAGGAAAGGTGAGGAGATGCTGTCTACAAGAGAAGAACTGAAATGTCTTCAGTTATAGGGGAAATTCTGGTCAGCACTCAGAATGCTCTAGACCAGAAAGCTGAGAGAAATCCTGCCTGTAAATACCAGGCTGGGGAGGTCTCTTCTCAGAAGAAAGACTATGTTGATTGTTGGACTCCAGATGATGTGTGTTATGGCTTGGCAGAAAGTTTGTCTGCATTTAGCTTGTGTCTACAGACTTTGCCTGAGACTGAGATTAAGTGTGGTGGACTGATTAACCTTGCAAAAGAAATATAAAAACAGCCAAATGTTGAGGCAGTGCCATGGTTATTGCTGGGGACCTTTAGTCGGATTTATGTGGAGAATCTAGGGCAAAGAACCAAGCAGCATGATTTAAGATGTGAGTTTATCCAGAAAGGAAGCTCCAATAAAGCTGTGGAATGCAAAGATAGAGCTGAAAGGATACCCATTGCCAGGATGGAACAAGAGAATGAAAAGGATGGCCTGGGGACAGGAATTGGCAGGTCTCCACCCTTTGCAGCCTCAGACCTGCAAGGGTGAAAGACTTTGCTTTCGTGGGAATCAGGGTCAGAGTGCTCAGTGATCCAGACACTCGACCCTTACAGCCAAGAGAGAAGAAGACCCTGCTACTGCTCCAGCTGGCATCAGACCTTGACAATATGCATGTGGCACAGGTTTTAGGTGCAGGCAGAAGGCAAGAGTTCTGAGGTTAAGAAGGCTTTCACCTAGGTTTCACAAGGCCTGGAGGCCAGGCAGTGAATCCCTGAGAAGGCAGTATATGAAGTAGAGAGTGAGAAGCCTAATACACACTGGAAACCCCAGAAGTTTGGAAAAGCCAGGAATGTGGATTATCTAAGAAAAACTGAAGGGAGGGAGCAAAGCAGGCCTAAGAGAGGAGCCATGGGAACTGCCACCAAAAGTGCAACAGGGGTGAGTCATGTAAGGCTTTTGGAGCTCACTCACTCATTACAGATTGCTTTGGATGTTCCAGATGGAGCTATAGGATTTAATGTTTGTCCTTCTGGATTTCGGACATGCTTTGGTTCCAATGCCTTGTATTCCAGGTTCCGATGCCCTGTTTGTACCTTTTAGAATGGTAATGTTTTCTTGTACCACTGCATGTTGGAAGTTTTTAACTTTTCATTTGTATAGGGCCTCACAGCTAAGAGTTTGCCTTAGATCTTGGAGGAGACTTGGGACTTGGACTTTCAGCAATGCTGAAACTGCTAGGACCTTGGCAACTCTTAGAAATAGACTACAATGACTTTTGCACAAAGGGATGCACATAAGCCTTTGGGGGTCTGGGGGTGGGATGTCCTTATTTGTATCTAGGTGTCCCTGCAAAGCCTCATGTAGCCAATGTGGTGGCTTCTAGAGTTTGTGATTAATTCATGACTCAATGCTGGCTTTATGGGTGTGAGTGCTACCTTAGCCCTGGGGTGGGCAATCTGCATTACAATGTAAGGAGGGGAAAGAGGCTTGATAACAGCTGCAGCTGCAGCTTCTCCCTTTGCTTTTTTGCTGTTTTCTACCACCATGAACTGCTGCCCTCTGCCACGTGTCACTCTGCCTTGGAGCCAGCCTAGTATGGACTGAAACCTCCACTAAACGTGAGCTAAATAAACCTTTCACTCCGTTATTTTGGGTGCCAGATATTTTGTCCCAGAAACAAGAGAAGAGAAACTGAGATGTATAAGTAGAAGAGATCATTACTAGCTGATTACTTTCTAGGCTATTCTAGGGAATTTATTAGGAAGATTATATTTTTTTAAAGAAGTGTGTATTTATTGAAGATGAATTATGAATTTGTATTCATTCATAGTGATACTTCCAATTATAATTTGAATTAATCTCTTCTATCTTACTTCCTTTTCCCATACCAAAAATCTAGCTCCCAAAGATGCATAGGTAATTATTCAGTTGGTTTATTGCCCCCAAAATTCTAACCAAGATTGAAAAGAATGAGCTGAGGAATCCCTTAAGAGAGTTATAAATAAAGAATTTAATTTCATAAAAAAAGAACTTTTCCACTGTTTTGACTCTTCCTCATAACCTGCTGGGCCGTAAGCCCTTAATAAGTCAGCACATCGTCCTATCATAATGCCTCCAATCTGGCGGAATTGGGTCCTTGGGTCTCGGGGGGTCCGAAGATGAAAATCAAGCACATTTCATGTACTATCACATCCTGCTACTAAAGCCCTGCATGGGTGACGGTCAGTTAAAGACTAATTGGCCACTCTTCTCTGACTATGCAGGGGATGAAAATCCAATTTTCTGAGCAAAAATTATTGCAATCAAAAGAGTATATTGGGAGGGAGAAAAAATAGGTCACAACCTTCTTACTTAGTTTACATATTCTATGTCTCTATAGAAATATATTAATACACTGTATCAATATATATTTTAATAAATACTTGAACAAAAATTAAATATACAAGATATATATCCATAGCATATATTCTATATTCACTATTATATACTAAGTGTTTGCCACATGTCAGTCATTGTCATACCTTGAAGAACTGAAGATGAATAAAAGACACTCAAGGCTTCAGGGAAAACAGTAAGATAAGACAAATAAAAAGCTATTGAAAACATAATGATATAAATGAAAAAGTGTTTGACGCATAGAGGAAGGGGAAATTAACTGAAGACATGGAGAATTATGGAACATTTTAATGTAGGATGTGACTGCTCAGTTCAGTGGTGAAGACTGGAAGCACTCAGACATCTGCCATGGAAGATGCCCTGGGGCATCTGAAGGCATGGGGCAGGCAGAAGGCCAGGCCAACCCTGGCCACAGGATGTGCAGACAGCAGGACGGTGCAAATCACCTCCACAGGAGTGGATTCCAGCCTGGGGCAGCCTGCAGAGGAGTGGGGTTGCACCTCTGCTGCTGGTGAGCTAAGCCTGAGCCGAAGCTGTGTGTTGCTTTTTCCCAGCCTGAGGGTTCATACCCAGCCTCCTCCAACAGTCACAGACTTATAATACCAGAGGAGAGCATGGAAATCTTCACAAGAGAACTGAATCTGTCTCTTTATCAAGCTGAAAATAAGGGTAAGTCTGCTCCCCATGATTCCCTCGCTTGAGCTTCCAGAACACCTCTGCTGCCCCATCAATCTTTGATTTCCTTCCCCCACCAGAAGCACCATAAAGTCGAATGCTAATAAGAGATTCTTCCATGATACAGAGGAACAAAGATGAGAAGTGGGCAGATAGGGTGCAATTTAACAAAAGGAAATCTCTTTGCCATCAGGGGAGGAAAGAAAGTACAGAAGGGATGCAAAACCAAACATCTGAGTAATAAAAAAAGAAAATAATTTGCTTTAAGGACATGTACTGATGGAAAATCATTGCAATAAAGAGAGTGAAAGCCACTTTTGTGCATTAGAAAAGTTTTTACTAGATACTTTCATCTCATAAAAGCAGGATTTCTGATAAAATAAGTTTGTGTATGAACTGGATTATTCTGAATACCACTTTAATAAGAATATAAAAACCAAGCAACACATAATCTTTTTCATGGGAGATTTGAGATTCTGTCATTTTAAAAGATGTCTGTTGGTATTTAGAATACAGTATGTAAATATCATAAAATAAACATCTGAGGTCTCTTCCACTTCTGCTTCAATCTCCTCTAGCTCTGTTTCTTGGTCCTGTTTGGCAACACGAGGCATGCAAGAAGGCTTGCTCTTTCATCTCTGGTGAGGTAGAGTCTGTGCTTTGTTTACCTGCAGTGGTGCCTGCCCTGGCTATGATATTCTCTTTTAGTCTGAGCATGCGTCAGTGATACCAGCATCACTGATACAAGTCAACAAAGCAAAATTCATTCTGCTTTCCTTTCTTATGAAAGAGCCTTTCATATTTCCAGGATAATGAGTAAGCCTATGCTTAGATGGGATACATTAAAGAGCCAAGAAACCTCCAAGGAGAAGTTTATTGGCAACAAAGACAATGCCAAAGTTTGAGTGCATGAGGAAACTTTAAAACAACTGACCAAGCATGGACCTGTGCTCGCTGTATCTTCTTAAGCCTTTCAGGGTCTGGAGAGTAGGCGCTCATAGCTCTCTGCAGAGCAAAGGGATTTATTCTAACCAAGCTGTGTTAAGAGGAATTAAACATATTTTTTCCTGCCTGGTTGATTTAGTGACTTTATTTCTGTGTATACAAATAAAAATCCTCGCTACAAACCAAAGTTGAGGAGATTATGTTAAAGATAGACATATGCTTAGAAAGTTCATTCAGCCCTCACAGAGGATTAAAACCCAATGGTTCACTGACTTCTCTGACTGTAAACCTCAATTTAGGAGTCTACTGAACATTCTTCTAATAAAATACTGGGATAGACTCCTCCAAAACAAGCTAAAATGTGCACCTTTTAAAGTAAACATATACACTTTGAAAAGTAGCATACTGAAATAATGCTGAGTCATCTGAAAATAATGGCCACAGAAATAAAGGTGATAAGCAAAGATGTCTCCTTGATGTGGTATTTTAAGCATGATATCCTTTTCCAGAGAACAGAGCTTAAAGTAAAAAGTAAAGGAGGTAACAAAATGGAACTCCTATGATCTGTTTTTGTCAAATAATTCCTTTATATAAAACATCATACCTTTTTAATTTCAGATTTCAAGTTACAGGGGTTACTCTGCTGGCTGAAGAGGGATTTCTTGAATCTCTCTATTACCCTTCTTTTCAAATTGTGGTGCAATGCCGGAGGAAGCTGTATAAAATGAGAAAACAATCATTATAACCAAATTCTCAACAGTGCATTGCTCAGAAAGAATGTACTGAGGACCAAACAATGTCAAAATATTCGCTCAACAGAACTAAATAAGAACATAAATGTTACTTCAAGTTAGCATTACTACCTGCTCTAGTTTTTCATCTTACAGTTAGAAGAAATGAAACATATTACTTTGATTTCTTTCAAAGATCTGCTTCCATTTAGCTTGTCATTGTTATGCTTCTTGATATTACTTTTTATACAATCACTAAATAATTCACTAACTTCGCACATGTTGAGCTTTGTGAGGAACGCTCTTGATACAGAGGTGTGTGGTTTATCAGATACATAGGTACTTAGGGCCTACCCAGAACCACGTCCAACACCCAGCCTCCACTCTGCTTCTCAAAGAGCATCCAATGCTTTGTGCCAGATAGTGCACAGCTACCTTAGCTCATAGTTAGTGAGTTGCCCAAAAATTCAGCTGAAAAAAAAAACAAATTTTGGAGGCTAATTTTGTCCTGAAGAAATACACAATGAATTACTATACAGTATATCCTAATAAGATGAGTTAGATTTAATGAATACATAGGAAATCATATATAATATGATAATTGGATGAAACCAGGGAATTAAAAAAGCCTGATATATAGTACTTTTCAGACCAAATTTGTACAGGAAAATTAAGGTCCTGATAGCACAGAGAGAGAAATTTGGGTGAAGAATAGCACAAAAGAAGCAGGGTCAGAGTTATAAGGGGTATTTGGGGCGACATGATGTTTCACTTTGTGGAGACAGGAGCGGTAGAATAGGCAAGACAAGAGATGGTTAAATGGAAAGGGCAATGTGGTAGGAGGAGGTCAAGATTTGTAAGCAAGAATGTAACCCAAATAAATCTTACCCTCATGTGTAAATTTCATATTGTCTCCCTAGTGTAAGAACCTGGAAGAGTAAATAGAATCTGCAAGATACAACAGATACTGTGAAAGGGAAAGATACCATTCAAAGGGAAGGGAACAACTCAGATGAGAGAAAGGAGAAAAAAGAAAGAAACAAGGAAATACATTTCACACACACACACACACACACACACACACAATAGCTTGGATAATTGTAATGTCAATTTCTGCTAGTCTATTGAAAGGAACAGTTAATGCTTAAATATTTTTTTCTGTCTTCTTTTTAATTTTTTGATCAATTTTGCACACTTATATCTGGTAATCTGAACAACTAAGTTGAAGACAATATGCAATGTAACAACCATTGTTGAACTCATATCATTTTGTTTAGTGAAATTCTGTATCATTTCTAATGTTATTTTTACTATTTGTATTCTCTTAAAAAATACAAAAGTTGCAGGGGCCAGGGGTTCAATCCCCAGGCCTGCAGTGCTGGCCCCGCCCCCAGGAAGTGCCGAGACAGTAATTGAGACCGGGCGTGGTGGCACACACCTGCAATCCCAGCTCTTGGGAGGCTATAAGCAGGTGGATCTAGTAGTGAGACCCTGAACACCCTGTAGACACTGCCATATATATATATATATGTTTTTATTTTTTGGCAGAACTGGGGATTGGACTCAGGCCCTTGTGCATGCCAGACAAGTGCTTATTCTACTGAGCTATCTACCTGGCCCTAGTCTTTTTCTTTTAAATGGCAATGTAAACGTATCTTTTATTGTAATGGGGGGGGAAGAGAGCTCAGTAGAATAAGCACCTGCATGGCAAGCACAAGGTCCTGAATTCAATCCCCAGTACTGCAAAAATAAATAGATAAATAAATAAATAAATAAGAATATAATTCAAATCCAGATAAAAAGCAAGAAGAATGAGTCAGAAACAAGTATGAACCCACCCTGCTCCATGCTCGAGGCTCCTTCCCAGTTCTGGCTGCTCTCATGTAACTACCAGTGGCCAATAAAAATGACATGCATCCCTCCAAGGCAGAAGCAATTCAAAGCCAGTGCTTCCTGCCTTTCTGTCCTCCCCTAAGAAACTTGGGGCCCATCTTCCCAGGCATTATAGTCACAAGGCACAGCAGGGACCCCTGGCAAGCCCAACTCTCTCTGTGTCAAGCCAAGATATTTGGGGGAACATATACCGCTGATATAATTTACTATGTCCTCAGTAACACAAGAAATGTCTATTAACTCAGGTTTCATGAAAGAAGAGGATTTTTTAAAGGCAACAGAAGAACAAAGAGTGGGGTCTATTGATTTCCTTGTGATGACTAACTTTATAGCCAAGCATGACACAATCCTGGGCTAAGTACAAAGCACTGTGATTATATTGGTATAACACAGAACAATAATGCAATTTAAAAAATGGATTTTAAGTGCATTGTTAATCCTAGCTCTTGAATCAATGTACATTTAGTTAGGGAAGAAAATGGAGCATTCTGGAAATACTGAGCCCTTCAATGTTCTTTAAAAGGCTGTACAGTATGTCAGCACTGCTTCTCCACTGATCTCTTTTGATGTCAACATTGTTGCTTTCTTTTGCCTTCATCCAGCACTGATTCCTTCTCATGGTCCCAGTATTAGTCATATACTGATATCTGGATAATCTGTAATGATTGGTTCTATGGAGCTTGCCAGGTAACAAAAACTATGAGCATCAAACAAGTTGTTTAGGCTGCACAGGACAGCAAGTTGTGAGATTGTCAATTATCAGCAAGTCCAGTTCTGGCTTCGTCACTGAGTGTCAAACAAACAATGGGGACAGGAACAGAGTTTTCACATCAGACTGCATTAAGTGCTAAATTTGATGAGTTTCAAAGCAGTCTAATACCAAGGTAGGACTGTAATTATTGTTGTCTTTTCACATGGAGTAAAAAGGAGAAATAATATAATGTACAAAGACAGAGAGTTATTTTTTAGCATTAATGGATAAACAGTTGAAGACAGACAACAGAAATGAGCATAAAAATATACATGTGAATGAAAGAGTAACAAAAGAAGAAGGAACTTGACTAGAAAAAAAAAACAATGAGGGGTAGAGGCAGGCACATACTTTCCTCATAAGGACATGCAAACAGGGGGAAAGTGCCTGCAGAGACACAGGTTTGAACATTCCTGTGGTTTCACACTAAAAACTACCATCTGTCTAAGTCAAACACTCGAGGGAATGGTGGCCATGCCCCTCGAGTGGCTGCCCCGTGTCAGTGCAACATGGTGGTCCAAGGCGAAGCTGCTGAGCCCTGGCTGCTACCATTAACAGCAAGTACAGGGGCTCATGGCTCCTGCACAGGGGTCTCAGCCCAGCGCTGGTAACTATTTTCATCAGGTTACTTTAGGGACTCCAAAAACTCTAGCCACTTATTTAATTTGTTAAGCCACTAATTAATTTAGAATTGTGATAAATGTAACTGGCAGCCTGAATTAATTACATAAAAACTCCTGTTGGTAAGGTAATATCCAGGCAACTGAAGACTCACATACGGGGCACTATTAGGAATTATATTTTACTGGAATAATGATCCTTTTGCTGGAATGATGATAGGCAGTACCTCATCTTTAAAATTTCCACGCAAGCATCTATAGTGTTACACAGGATGATGACTCATGTTTAATTACAGATGAGGTAAGTATATTAATACATTGAATACAAGAATGTAATACTAAGAATAAAGCATTAAAATCTATGATTCATACATGCTAGGCACTATGACTGCTCCTCTGTGTGCATTATCTCACTTTTCCCCCACAACAAACTTATAAAGCAGATACTACTTTACAGATGAGGAAATCAGAGCTCATAGATCAAAAATATCCTTCTGAGGCACTCAGTCTTCTAGCCCAATCATTATCCTAGAGCACACACCATCACTACTAATATAAAGGATGAAGAAACAGATTGAAGAAAACATAAACATTGTCTCAAAAATCACTCATGCAAATGCGATTTACATTTTTTTTGTTTTACTGTTCACAAAACTAAAAACAAGAAATATTATCTATATGCTGCCTAATAAATTTTTTCTTTCAAACTTGTATAATATATGGATTGTTTCTAAAGAAATGAATTCTCTGCCTACAAACCTATCAGCAGACCATGAGTAGTTTCCAGGGATCTAGTTGATACATAGTGACCAAAATAGGACCACTGTAGATTGGAGGCCAGTCTGAGCGACACAGAGAGTTTAATGCCAGCCTGAGATACATAGTGACATCCTGTCTCAACAAAACAGAACAAAAGTTGCCGTGTGCTACTTTTTAAATATTTGTTTTACAAAATGATCGAAATGTAGAATAGCATTAAACTCAATATTTAACTTGGTTGTGCAGGTCTTACCTAAGCAACAACACCTAAAGGATTATACCAAAACATCACACTGGCACTCCAATCACCTTATCAGCCCAATGATAATTTCTGTTTGCAGCAACAGAAATGAGCAACTGGCTTCATTCTTGGTTGGCTGGTGTCAAGATTACTGTCTCACTTCTGATGAAAACAGATGTCAAATCAGTGAAAGCAGAGTAAGGATTTAACATCCTGCCTTTTAAAATAGTTGCTTGCAGATAATTTTCTCGGCTATATCTCCAAAGAAACTGGGCAGAAAAGGATGCACCAGCCCCAAACACAAGTTTTCCATGTAAGTTCTTCTGTTGGTCGTCAAGAGGTATCCAGCTTCCAACTCAGGGCCACTGCCACAAGTGAAGTACAAAAATTTGACTCATATATAAATGGGAGATGGAAATCTGTTTATATTGTCAATTCTGTCTTAGTTTGCCACTAGCAGAGACAAAAACTTAGAAAAACTCTTGATCTTCGATCTATAACTAATATACTACTAGAATGTTTAAGTTTGTATTTTTTTCTTTATGTGAGACACTTTGAATTTATTTAATTATTCCCCCTAAATAAATTCTGGGGAACTTACTATACATTAAAGTTCCCCAGAGGAGAAATCATTCCTTTCTGTATCCAATGCCATGCAGTTTGAAGTATTCTAAAAACTATTTTTAAAAACCTCAACTGTCATATCTGCATTTGCAACTA